AGCATCAAAAAGGGAACAATATTTAAGAGAATCAAAAAGAATAAGCAAAAGTAACCATATTAAAGAATAATCAAGACTCATTACAACATGTGAATCCCAGGAACATTTAAGAGTACATTCTAAAATCAATCACCAGTGGGGATTTCTGAGAAGGGATGGGGGATCAGTCGGGTCATCTAGCGGTCAGCTTTCTGAGATGGGACGGAGAAGTGGGCAGGTCATCTAGCAGGCGACAAAACGGAGTTTCTTTGGCTAGTGTACCTCAACTGGCTGATCCTTTTCTTGGCTCTATTTTTGAAAGTAGATTACCACGCCTTTCTATCCAGCCCACCTGACTCTGATAGTTCTGCTGGGACTTTTTTAGCGTCAAAGAAACACACAAGCCTTCCCCAGCGGGCGGATGCATGACTAGACACGCAGCACCTTGGCCGAGAGTTGGTCCTAGGTCTCTCTCACAGAAGGCACGAGTTCTACCATTGAATCACCGTCTTCAGCCTTGACCAAAGACCTTGGCCCCAGCACCAAGTCCTCTTCGAGGGATCTCAAGGAAACAGAGCACACTTTGGATGTGATTCCCAGCCAACCCACCAAGGAGGCGCACACGTTTCTATGATGCTGATCCCATTTGAGACTGACAGAGAAGAAAGCTCCAGTGACGTATTGCCAACAATCTGCTAACAGAAACCCTGGAGATCACACGGTCCTGTCGCCAATGAATCATGGCGATGGTGTAGGATGGCAAAGGACTGGGTAGTCATTTTTCCTTTGTGCATGGGCCACCATCGACTGGGGGCTGGTCCATAGCAACTAACACCAGACTGTGTCCTACGCAGAGGGAATGCTCCTCCTGAGTTGTCTCTAACTCCCGTGGGGACAGAAGTGGTGTTAGTCCCATAAGAAACTAGAGGAACTGGTGGCTGGCTGAAAATACCCAGTGCGTAGAATCAGAGATACAGTTTCTGAGGGTCTGGGAATTCCTACAGTGACTCAGGGTCACTGCAGTCCTCATGATTCTCTGAGAGCCCCAACTGCCCACTTGGCCCAATCCTCTCTGAAACTTATCTTTCAGTCTAGAAGAACAAAAACTCCTACCCAGCCGAGGCTGTGCCTGCCCTCCTCATCCCAGCTTCCTTGCCTACAGTGTCAGAATGGTCCCATGCCTCATCTGCCGCTCAGCCAGACACTGGCGCTCCTCAAAGACAGGGACCAGGACTGTCCGACTCAACCCTTTACTTTCATCTCAGTACCCAAGACTGAGGTTAAGGATAGATTTTCCTCCCTTGTCCCCTCAAATCAACACGATCCGTTTCTTCACGCCAATGAATCCTCGAGCACGAGAGATCAGTGAGGTTCAGACTGGGGTGCACAAGGACAGGACACTGTGTGACTTGGGCATGTTATTTGCCCACTCTTGACCGCTGGTCATTTACCTGCAAATTGGAGAAGTACAGCTAGAAGAACGCACACGCTGATCATCTGTGACTTAAGCTCTTCGTTGCGCGTGATTTACCCCAGGCTCCTTCGACCCACTCTTCTGCTTTTCTCGGAAACCTGGGCTGGGTCAGGACGGACCTGCTTTGACCAGACAGATGCTGCAACTGCCCTGCTGTGAAGGGGCCAGGACGGGGTGGCCCTGTGGAGGATGGGCATTTCAGTTTTCTAACGCCGCCCGAACACAAGTAATACACTTAACTAATGAACAGCAATCGATCTTCTCGGCGTTTAGGGGACTGAAGTCTGAAGTCAGGACACAGTCCAGGAGAAATCTCTCTATCCACTCTAAAAAAATGCGTGTCTTTCCCCAGTTTCTCTTCCTCTGTTCCTTGATGACCACCACTTGACATACATTTGTGATTCCTTGCTTCTGTGTCTAAGGGGCTCTGGTTGCTCAGTAGTCAGGCACTTCATGGATATCCCAAAGGATGGCAGCTGGGACCTACTAAAAGCTCTGCAGGAGATAGATGTGAGATTCCGTTCCCCTGGTAATCCTATGGGGAAGTTCTACTCTTTTTTATACAGTCTCTATGCATTGGACGACTGTGTTAGTCTGGATTGACTAGAGAAACAAAGCCAGAGACACTCATATGGGTATAAGAGAGAGCTTTGTACCAAAGAGCAATTGTATATTGAGAAAACATCCCAACCCAGTCCAGATCAAGTCCATAAATCCGATATTAGCCCATACATCTGGTCCTCATCCATACATTCCTCTTTAGACTCACGCAGCATATGCAATGATGCCTAATGCAGGAAGGTCACAGGCCAGTGAGTGGAAAGCCTTGTGGATCCAGTGACAGTGGAAGCATCTCAGTGCTGGCAGGGGTCTCCATGTGGCTCCTCCAGCTCCAGGGCTCTATTGTAGCTCCATGTGTCTTGACAGCAAGCCTCACAGAGAGTGAGCAGAGAGAGAATCTCCAAGGGAGTTAGCCAAGAGAGAGAGATGTGTCTCCCACCTCCAAGGAGGAAATACAGGTGTGTTAGTCTGGGTACTTTAGAGAAACAAATCCACAAAAATTCATGTTTAAGAGAGAGTTTTATATAAAGATTAAGTGCGCATCAAGAAAACATCCCAACCCAGTGCTCCCCAAGCCCACAAGTCCAACATTAACCCATATGACCCACACCAATCCACAAAGTCCTCCTCCATCTCACAAAACAGATGCAATGATGCTGAATGCAGGAGGAAAGCTGAGTCAGTGAATGGGTAAACATCTCAGCCCTGGCAGGGGTCTCCACATGGCTGCTCCAGCACCCAGGGCTGCATCAGGGTAGGTCCATGTGGCTTCTCCTCAGGGATGTCTTGCAGGAAGTGAGCCTTGCCAGCTAAAGCAGGGAACTGGCTAAGGCAGCTGCACCCTGGTCTGACCATCAGAAAGCAAGAGACCTGAGAACTAGAAAGGTGAGGCTCACTGAGCCATTTATCCCTCCACCCTTCAATTAACCCCACATGTGCTTTATCAGCCAGGTTGGCCCAATAAACTAACTACCTCAACAGGAGTTCCCAGAATTCTCAGGAGAAGGCCCTGCCCACACAGAGGCCTCATTGGTTATATCTTGATTGACAGGTCAGACTCTACCCCTTCACTTGTAATCCTCTCAAGTTGACACCAGATATATAACCACCACACCAAGTTTCTGCTTTCATCGGTTTGACTGTATTGAAATGATAAACCTACAAAGAAATGCAAAAGAGAGTTGCCATTAAAAGAGCCCACATAGCATAGAGGTTAAGGGCTCAGCTGCTAGGTGAAAGTTCAGCTGTTCAAACCCATCAGCCTCTCTGAAGGAGACAACCATGACAGTCTGTTTCCACAACGATCTAGAGTCTTGGCAGTCTTGCTGGGACCATTCTTTTCCATAAGGTCACAGAATCTGAATGGCAACTGGATTCCGAAACTGGGCGGCAACGAGTTTTTCATTATCATTCCTGTGAATTAAGGACTGCTCTGGAGCCTAGAGAGTGGAGGGGGCACATGGAGGAAGGGGCCTTGCTCCTGCAACGTTTCATTGCTTGGAAGGTGTTCATTTTGTGATGAATCGCTGAGTTGTTGAGAAGGCAACTTTTTGGTACGTTTTGGATAACCTCCCTATAAATGTATAGGGTATAAGGAAGTATAATCCCTAGGATTACCACTACTCCCCCCTCAGCCCCTCCAACCCCCAAATCCAAACTGGCTGCTCTTGAGCCAATTCCAGCTCATGGAGATCCCAAGTGTGTCGGAGTGGAACTGGGGTGTGGTCGTTACATCGTGTCACGTCAACTTAATAAATTGGTTATAGGGGTGGAGTCTAGCCTGTCAATCAGGTCATAGCCAATGAAGCCTCTGTGTGGGAGTGGCCTTCTCCTGAGGATGCTGGAAACTCCTGTCTTCCCCCCTGGAGGTGGGACACACAGAGTCTCTGCTTTGTCTTCCTGCTGACAAGCCGCATGGAGCTAAGCTGAGGGAGTCGGAGCCCTGGAGCTAGAGGAGCCATGTAGAGACCCACACCAGCGCTGAGATGCTTCCACTGCCACTGAATCCATAAGACTTTCCACCCACTGGCCTCTGATCATCCTGCATTCGGCATCATTGCATGTGTTGTGTGAGTCTGAAGCGGAATTTAGAGACTGGTATCAGACATAGGGGCTAATATCAAACTGATGGATTTGATCTGGACTGGGCTGGGATGTTTTCTTCATATACAATTACTCTTTGATATAAAGTTCTCTCTTACACACCTATGAGTGTCCGTAGGTTTTCCATGGGAGTGGTGCAGTTGTTAACAACTGAAAGGTTAGTTGTTGATTTGAACTCAGAAACTTCTCCAAGGGGAAAAGATATACCAGTTTGCTTCTGTAAAAATTTACAGACTTGGAAAGACTATGGGGGGCAAGGGGGGAGGGCAGTTCTACAGGTTCGCTATGAGTTGGAATCAACTCAAGGGCATGCTCTCTCTGCCTGGTGATTCCTGGAGGTCAGTGTCTTGGGTAGGTTGTGTAAGGCAGAGAAGCCCAACACATGGACGCTGAGGGTGAGATGGAGGGACGGCTGCTTCCCTCACCCACCTGGGCTCTCAGGTGCTTGATCTCAGCTCCCAAGCCTCTTCTGGGTCCCTCCTCAGCTAGACTGATTCCCACTGAGCCTATGACTCAGTGGGCCAGGCTGGAAGGGACCCGATTTCACATGGTAAACATGATACCAGAGGGGATGGTGGTCAACCAGGAGATAAGAATGGATTCTGGGCCCAGTATTGGATGCCAACTTGGTCAGATCTCTTTCCCTATCAGCCTCAGGTCCCATGAGTGGATGTGGGGAGGTAGTGGTTGGTTGGCTGAGTTGCCCTGATAACATCTGGGCCTGAGGTTTCTGTTTTCCTGCTCTGCAGACCGTCATTGGTCAACATATCTTTCTTTCCCCCTCCCCCTCTTCCTGTGGAACCATATCTTGCACTCTTAGCCTAGAGATGAGCTCTAAGAAACAGACGTTCTTAGGGTTGAACCTGCCTCCACCAGTCCAGAAATGTTGTGGTTGCTGCTGCCCTTGTTATGGACAGGTGAGTGGGTTGATGATGGGGGCGGGAGGGGGTGGGGGGAGTATCTCTTGTAGGGGGTGGGGGGATAATGCAATAGCTGAGCCACCCTCTTCCCCCAGGGTCTCTGGCTCAGGACGACCAATACCAGTTGGAAATGCAGAGGTCAGTGACAGTACAGGAGGGTCTGTGCACTTTTCTGCCCTGCACCATCACCTACCCCCACGGCATGTGGACTGACTCTGACCCAACGTATGGCTCCTGGTTCCGTGACGGGGCCGATGTGAACCAGGATGCTCCAGTGGCCACAAATCACCCAGGTCAAAAAGTGCAGGAGGAGACCCAGGGCCGATTCTATCTCCTTGGAGACCCTCGGAACCACACCTGCTCCCTGGACATCAGAGACACCAGGATGGCAGACAACGGGTCATACTTTTTTCAGGTGGCGAGAGGAAGCATGAAATGGAATTACACATTGTATCCGCTCTCTGTTCATGTGAAACGTAAGGGACGCGCTCCGGGAGATGAACGTGGGGCCTCGGGCAGGTCTGGGATGGGACCGCTGCGTCTCACGCGGGAGGGGTGTTTGGGTAAAGTGTGTGAAGCTCCGTGGAAGGAGCTGTGTCCAGGCCTGGAATAGATTTGTCGGGAATAATCTTGAAATCCCTGCATATTGATCCCGAATCTTCTCTTTTCCTACCAGCCCTGACTCAGAAGCCCAACATACAGATCCTACGGTCCCTGGTGTCTGGCCGACTCGGCACCGTGACCTGTCCTATACCCTGGGCTTGTGATCGGGGCAGAGCTCCCATCTTCTCCTGGATGGGCCCCTCCATTGTCCCTGGAGATTCCATGATCCCCAACTCCTCAGTGCTTACCTTCACCCCACGGCCTCAGGATCACGGCACCAACCTCACCTGTCAGGTGACCTTCCCTGGAGCAGGTGTGACAACAAATAGAACCATTCTGCTCAAAGTATCCTGTGAGTATTGGGTAGGGGGACCTGGCTCTCTGATGAGCAGTCCCTACCGAGAGCAGAGCTGGAAGAGAGTCAGGAGCTTGGGCATTGGGTACCGGGTCTTGATATCTAGAGTGGAAGGGGTCAGGGAGATGTCTACCTTGCCCTTTCCCCGTTTCTGCAGCTTCTGGGGAATGAAGGCCAATATCCACCCACTCTCCCCCTGATGAAGTCTTTCTGTCTTAGACTCTCCACAGAATGTGACCATAGCTGTCTTCCAAGGAAATGACACAGGTAGGAAGGACCTTCCTCCACCCATTCCCTGCCACAACTGCCTTCCAGAGTTTGTTGGGAGCGAGGACTGGACCAGAATCTTCTACGTTCTCTTGGGCTCAAATGGGTGACCAGAGATCCCCTTGTTGAACTCAAGTGTCCTCTCTAAACACCAGACTAGGAGTTTGATGTTTCTCGTCACCCAACTCTTGCTTGCTCCTCTGCCATGTCTTTTCATTTTCCTTAGTGACATTTGCATCAGTTCTTTCGGAGAAATGTTACATTCTTACTGGCCAAATGTGAAATGCCCAACACAGTCTGTCCCCAAGATGACAGCTGCCCTCCCATGAAGGGACCCCTCTTTCATGCATGCTACTCTGGGCCTTGGTTCTTCCACTTGATAGACGCAAGAGGTCATTCAATGTCAACAGTAATGCCTGTCCTTGTTCTTATCTCTCTCTGTACCCTGTGTCCTCTGTGGTTGGATTCTGGTTCCAGGCACATCTTTTATTCATGAAGGAGGATGGCATGACGTTTTCCCACTCACAACACCAGTAACATGAATGCCACAAATGACCTCAGACCTTTTCTCTACTCTCATTATTAGTGCCTTGCCTCTGAAACAAATATCCAAAGCAAGATAGCTGGATCCTAGGTTTGGTCTAATTTGAAATCTGTAGCTGGTTCTGTTGGTTTCAGTACTCAACAACAAACTACAAGGTTGGTGGTTCAAACTCACCCAGTGATGCCTGAGAAAGTAGGCCTGGTTGTCTGCTTCTCAATAGTCATGCCCTTGAGAGCCCTAGGGAGCCATTGTACTCTGCATAGAGGCTCACTGGGGTGTCTAAATAGACTGATGGAAACGTGGGGTTAAGGGATCATGCAGGGGGAATGGCCAAGTTACCTTCCATTAAGGATGATCAAGTTTATATTCCTACCAGAGAGGGGTGAAATTGTGTGTCTTCCCAGAGTCTCCAGCCTAGGATATTTATCAGCTTTCTGTCCACAATTTACACATCACAATAACTGTATGTGGGGAAGCGAGTCAGGTAGGGTGCCTGTGTATAGTCTTGAGGCAAAACCTTTCTTCCTCAGGAAAACTCACGTTTGCTTTTAAGGCCACCGACTGATTGGATCAGGCCCACCCACGTTGTGGCGAGTCACCTGTTTCATGTCAGGGCAACTTCCTTGAATGCTGAATTACCTGTAATAGCAGCATCTACATCAGTGTTTGGAAAAAAGGTCACCATCACCCGGCCAGGGTGTCACATAAAATTGATATTCCACTCCTTCGCTGGATCTTTTTGGCAGTCTTTTCTTTCACAGACTATGTCTGAGTGTCTATGCTCCTCGCCCTATCTCTTTCTGAAAACATCCTCTTTCTATTGATCTCTTTTTTCTCTCTCTGACTCTCAGGCTCTCTGACTCTTTCCTTCTAGAATCCAACACCGTAAGGAATGGCTCTTCAGTGAATGTCCAGGTGGGACAGTACCTGCGTCTGGTCTGTGTTGTCGACAGCAATCCTCCCTCCACAGTGACTTGGGCCCGGGGGAGCCTCACCCTGAAGCCCTCAATGCCCTCAGAACCAGAAGTCATGGAACTGCTGCAAGTAAAAGCTGAAGATGGAGGGGAATTCACTTGCCGGGCTCAGTACTCACTAGACTCCCTGCATGTTTCTTTGAAGCTCTCTGTGCAGAGTGAGTTACTGGGCATGTGTTGAGGACAGACCACCCAGTGAGAGGGAAGGGTGGAAGCCACAATCAAGAACCTAACTTCCTCTTTCTTCTAAGGTAGCTCCTCTTGCTGCCCCTGTGCACCTGGGCGGCCAAAGGAGTCCAGGGCCCTGATCTTAACCCTGACCAGGGGATGCCTTATGGGTGCTGGTTTTGTCTTCACCTATGGCCTCTTTTGGATCTACTATACCTGGTAAGCACACTTAACCTTTCTCCAAGGGAGCCCAGTGATTGACTTAACATCCCTGGTGTTAGAATTAACAACCAACTCTGATCAGAGCCTTGGGTTTGCTCTGCAGGTGTGGAGTTTCACAAAGGAGCTGGGATGACTGAATGTCCTTCCTTCTCAGGACAGGCTGGAGGTATGGACATGGAGCTCACAGGGACAGATTTGGGGACACCGTGATCATCTTCTCCCCAGTCACACTCCTCCCACACCAGTTTACATGGGAAGAGATGGTTCCCTGGACCTCAAACCAGTTCAGTCAGGTTCAATCATGACTGAGAAAATGACACTGGAACAGATCCCATTTTTAAAATGCGGACCAACAAGGGTGATAACCAGAATGGAAAATATTATGGGCTGTAACCGTGCTAGAAATTTAATCTCCCTCTTAGGACACACTATGCGACACATGTTGCTGTTAAGTGCCATCAAACCCATTCCAAGGCACAGCAGCCCCCTGTACAACAGGCGGAAACACGCTGCAGTCCTGCACCATCCTCACAAGATGTCTTACACTTGAGTTCGTTGGTGCAGCCAGTCTATCCATCCATCTTGTTGAGGATCTTTCTCTATTTCTGACCCTCCACTTTACTGAGCCTGATGGCCATCTCCGGGGACTGGTCCCTTGTGACGACATGTCCAAAGTACATGAGAAGAAGACGTCTCACCAACCTTGCACCTAGGCAGCATGTCTGTTGGACTTTTACCAAGACAGGTCTGTCCATTGGCTGGCTGTTCAGCATTCGTTGTGCACGTGAGAATCCTAACAGTCCTCTTCTGCTGCAGCCATCCTAAGTCATTGTCCCTCGGCGTTCACAGGAGGCCATTGACCACACGGTGGCTTGGGAGAAGCACAAAGATGTTCTCCAAGAGGTCTTTTACAGCCAATGGGCACTGTGTGACTCATCACTGATGGCTTCATGGCTGCTTCTAAAGATGTTGGGTGTGGATCCCACTGAAAGGGACCCTTGACACACTCCACCTTTTCTCTGTGTATCATGATGCCGATTGGTTCAGTGGTGAGACTTTTGTTTGCGTGTGTTTTTGTTTTCCACTGAGGTGTAATCCAGGCCGAAGACTGCGGTCTTGGGTCCTCCTCGGTAAAGGGCTTCGAGTCCTCATTGCTTTCAGCAAGCAAGGTTGAGCCATCAGCAGGAAACAAGTTAGGGCTGTCCTCTTTCGCTATACTGCTTCCATCTGTCTAGTCCAGCTTCTCCGATCATTAGTTCAGCATCGAGATTGAATAATTGTAGTTGAAAGAGTACAATCCGAATGCACACCTCTCTTGGTTTTCAATCACTCCAAAGTCCCTTATTCTGCTCAACTATCTGCCTCTTTTTATCCAGAATGTGAAATATTTATTTCTAATGACAAATCAATGAAATGTTGTCTTGAAACATGGTGTAGCATGGATCATAGTCTTCATGCCGGGTTCTTGCATGTGGGCATATCTGCAGGTGGGCAGACCAACCTGGAGATGATAGAGGAGCAGCGTCTGGGTTCCTAAGATTATCGGAAATATGTGTTTTCCGATGGTCTTAGGCGACCCTTGTGAAGGGGTCGAGACCCACAGGTTGAGAACTGCTGGCTTAATGGAAAGTGAGCTAGGGATATGGATATCATGGGGGTAAGAATTAGATCCTTACTATATTTGATTATAGATGAATATTTGGAAATTCTACTTTTATAATTTGTATAATTCTTTGTATAATTTGTACACAAGTATACAAGCTACTTTTATATAAGCTGAAATATATTTGTAGTAAATCACCCACCCTTTGAATGTTAGCCATTATAAAGTATTTTTATGGGGCGGGTTGTTTGTTTGTTTGTTTTAAATCATTTTATTGGGGGTTCATACAACTCTTATAACTCATCCATTCATCCACTGTGTCAAGCACATTTGTACATTTGTTGCCATCATCATTCTCAAAACATTTGCCTTCCGCTTGAGCCCGTGGTATCAGATCCTCATTTTTTCCCTCCCTCCCCGCTCCCCCCTCCAACTAGCTTCCTCTTGTAGGTAAACACAGCTCCATGTGCTGGAATTCCCATTGTACAAAATGTTATTGATAGTTCGTTATGATCCCCACAGTCGAATGACTTTGCACAGTCCAGAAAGCACAAGGAAGCCTCTTCCTGGTATTCTTTGCTTTCATCTGATGCATCTGATGAAGAAATGCATCTGATGTCACTGATGGAATTGTCTGTTCCAGGTCCTACTTTGAATCTGGCTTGCAATTCTGGCAGCTCCCTGCATCTGAACGGCTGCAGCCAGTTTTTCAACTGCCTTCAGCAAAAATGTACTTGTGCACCATATGCATGAAATTGTTCAACAATGTCCTCATTCTGTTGGGCACCCTTCCTTTGGAAGAGGCACCGATCTGGATCTGGTCTGGTTGGCTGGCCAGGTAGCTGTCCTCCATATTTGTAAATCAAATATTTTCGTAGTTAGAGCACAGAGGACATGAAAAAACACCCTTTAGTCACCATTACACTCGTATTACCCAATTTATTAAACGAAAAAGGGAAAATACAATAAAACATTTTGGACGTTACAATTATCATTTATTATTTATTATATTATTTATGGCATCAAGCGTGTACAGTATGAGCCAATCAGTGGCAGTCATGACAGAGCATGCGCTGTTACACAAAAACCGCGATAGAGTGAAGCCGCGGAAGTCGAAGCGCGAAGTGGCGAGGGTTCACTGTATTCTTCTTTTAGCTAGAGAAACGCTGAGCAGGTTCTTTCTTTTTGGATTTCTAACTCGAGGCCTTGGCGGATTCCATTATCCTTTGTCTCCTCCAACCACCCGTCAACATCTTCTGTTGCTTTCTTTTACCTCAGCATTTCTTGCTGTCATTTCTAGATTCTCTGAATTGAGCACCACAGTTTCTTCTGACATCCACTTTGGTCTTTTCATTCTTTGCTGTCTTTTAAATAACCGTTGCTTTCTTTGTATAGGGTGTTCTTCATGTGATTCTACAACTCAGCTGGTATTTGGTAATGAAGTGTTCATTGCATCAAATCTCTTCTCGAAATGGTCTCGACATTCCGGTGGGATCTACTCAAGATTGCGGTTAACTCTTGTGTCCTTGTTTTAATTGTCTCCGGTTCAACTTTAACTTGTATTTGAGCAATTGATGGTCTGTCTGTTCCACAGCCATCCTCTGGCCTTGTCTGACTGATGATCTTGAGCTTCTCTGTTGTCTCTTTCCACAGGTGCAGTCAATTTGATTAGTGTGAATTCCATTCAAACAGGTGCCTGTGTATCTTCACCCTTTATAGTGTTGAAATCAGGTATTTTCATCGGATACGTTTCTGAAAAATTCTCTCACACAATCTCCGCTCTCATTGCTATTACCAAGTGTATATATTTACAACCACCTATAGCTCCTTTTTTGTTTCTAGCGCTCACTCGCCAATCACCAGTAGTTATTGAGGCATATTGATTCCCCGTTTGATCACTTTCAGACTCAGAAGTCGGCAGCTTCTTGAATTTCTCGATTAATGATGTTAACGCTTAGGGTATAGATTTGAATATTAGTCATATTAACTGATCCTTCTTATAGGTGCATAGATGTTACTCTAGCACTGACAGTATTGGACTTCAGGGCAGATCTTGTAATACTTTTTTTTGGCCAACGCATTCCATGTCATTCCCCTTGAATATGTCGTAGTAAACCGTATACTTGTCTGATTCACACTGGCCAATACCAGTGCACTGCTTGTCACTCATGTGTAGGATACGCTAGTCACCCTTTCGCATCTCATTTCATTTTTAAGAACTGTTTCTTTGCGTGTGAATCCAGGGAAGGCTCACAGAGCACATCATCAGTTTTACTTTCAACAACCCACACGCATTTTGTTTCACCTCATCCATTGTCATCCCCTCAATGGACCATCAATTATCCCTCATCCTTCTGTGTTTTCTCTTTTCATTCCTCCTTCCCCTCCCCCCCCCCCCCAACGCTCTGAACTTTGTCCTTGGGTCAAGGCTGCCCTGCTGAGCTTACGTGGCTGGCGGTTGAAGCAGGTGGCTGAATTCAGTGACAGACCTGAAGGACGACGAAGGCAGTCGTCTTGGGTCCACCTGTCTCTATTCAACAGGAAAGCCTGGTCTCTCTCTCAAATGATGTTGAGTTTTAATGCAACACTCCCCCCCCCCCTCCCATTCTACTCAGGGTCTTCAAATGGGATCTTTTGTATTTTTTTCAAGAACAGTTGGCTGTGTTTGCTGGTGCTTTCACTTAATTTTGGATGACTTTTCCCCCTCCTAGATGCCTGCACATCGCCTGGCAACCAACTGCCTTGTGTTCCCAGTGATAGACAGCTCCTCTCCCCACAGAGGGGCCAGCTATGGAGCCAACTTGAATGTGTTGCTCTGGCTCCTGAAAGGGCTCATGCCTAGGCTTCTCTCGAGTCTCCCATTCCAGAACGGTGGCCCATCATTTGTTCGGATCTAAGCTATTGATCTAGAACCAACGCAACGGCACCTACCAGCAGCCATCGGTTCCGTTTGTCCACGTTTTTAAAAATTCAGGTTTGTTCCAGTTTCACGTCATCAGTTTGCCGGAATGGGCTCACTGGCTCGCAGCCCTGCTGGGCACAGACAAAGACTTTTGTGATCAGGTCAAAGAGGTCCTGGGAAATCCCTAGTGAAGCAGGGATTGTCATTGGGTCTCAATCCCAATGAAATGATATCTTATCAAAGAGAAGAAAAGGCACAGAGACCCAAATGGACAGAGGAAGGGTGGTCGTGTGACCTTAGAGACTGGCACAGTTGCGAGTCAAGACGTGCCCAGCGTGGTGGGTAGCCAACAGACGGCAGGAGAGAGGTGTGGAACCATCTCTCTCTCTCAGAACTGCAGAAGGAATCAACGTGGTGCTCGCACTCTGGTTTGAACTCTCAAGCCTCTGGAACATCGAGACTGTACCTTTCTGTTTTGCAAAGCCACTGTTTTGTG